AGAAAAAAATATATAAAAAGATAAAGAAATCAAAACTAACTAACTAATGTATAAAATAAATGAATAATAAATAAATTACCTAATTTATTAAAAATATATAAAAAATATACAAAGGAAAATATAAAAAAGTTTATAAAAACATATATAAAAAATATATAAAAAAATATATAAAAAATATATAGAAATTTTTTAAAAAAATATACAAAAAATATATAAAAATTTATAAAAAATACATAAAAAATATATAAAATATATATAAAAAGGAATTAAAAAAAATGAACAAACTAAAAATATAGAAAATATTTAAAAGAAAGAAAAAATATAAAATCAACGGTAACAATAAAATTACAATAATTTAAAAACAATAAGAAAAAAGAGAAATATATAAAAATCTATACAGAATTTGAAGAAACTGAAAACTCGAAAATAACAAAAAAAAATATTAATCAAAGAATGGAAATACAAAAAGAAATTTAAAAATATTTAAAATGTGAACTAAATGTGAAACTTTAAAGGTTGTTTAAGTATAAATAAAAATAATTTAATAAATATTAGCAAGAGGGTACTAGAAAATAATATTAAGACTATATATGAAAAACCATAAAAGATAAAAGCTAAAAAAAGTAACTTATACAATAATATGAAAGAGTTATGGAAGAAAAAGAAATATAACAAAAGAGAAAATATGAAATAATATAACATATTTAATATAAAAAATTATAAATAAAAACAATTTAAATATTTAAACGAAATCAATTTTGCTCAAGAATTTTATTTTGCTTAAAGTTTCCTTACAATAATTCTGCTCAGCCTCGCTTGAAACACTGTTCGCACTAAAATATTGCACTCTAGAGAGAAAAAAGTATGAAAATAAATATAGCAAACAATTTAGAATAGGTAAAAAAGAAAAAGAACAGAAAACTAACAAATGATTCAGTAGCGAGTAATGTTAATTGAAAAATGTTTAGCATTACTAAAGCATCACAAAAATGCAAACTTTTCTTGGAACAGAACAAAGTGAAAACTGTACTATAGTTTCATAAAAAATATAGCAAAATCGCAAAAGCTGGACAAATTGAATGCTTTCATTTCAACTATATTTTGAATTTCGTTCTGCGCTTCTTTCGTCATTGAACAAGAGAGTTCGTTTTTGTCTTGATTTTCACATTTCTCTTGATTTTTGAATCAATGCTTACAATTGCATTATTTTCGCACATCAAATACTTATGCATATACGTGTAGTAAGTGTAATTCTGTTGAGAATTACAAACACGCAAATACATTACTGCAATTGCAGCGCAATCAAATTGTCCATTTCCAGCTTTTAACTGTCATAAAAATTTGCATACTTTTTCCCCCCGTCGTGTGTTGTTGTGTTGTGTGCACCACCATTTAAATATTAATTTATGCGCATTTTTATTTTAACTCTTAAACAACAATTATTGCATACACACGGGCGCAAGGCGAGCACTAGCGTATAAATAATCTATATATTTCTGGGATTTAAGTGGCTGACATGAAAAGTTGTGTAACAGCTGATGTGTGGTGTGTAAAATATGCATAATTTTAGTCTTTGCTGCATACTTGCAGGCGCCATTGGTAAATATGTAAATGCTGGCGAATTTCACATGATGTGTTTAAAATTAAATTCCTTGCATATTCATTAATTGTAAACTATGCAATTTATTTGAGTTTTAACAAATTTACTGAAAAATAAATAGATTAAAAGTGGTGGTGTGTGGTTTTAGGCGTTTTAGATTATGAGGTCAGTGCTACGCAATGTGCTAATTTGGCAAATTATGCAATTATGTGGTGCTTAAAATAATTTCCATTGCGGTGGAATGGAAATCTATTTTAATTACTTTGTTGCATACTTTTTGGCGAGTCGTTTTTTTTTTAAATATATTTATTATTTTACTAAGTATAGGCAGTTAATAGTATTACAGCAAGCGCTTTGGTTTTTAGAGTGATTATTTTTTGACAATGTGTGTTGCATTGCTTCCTTTCATTTTAAATTTTTTTACATTGTTTTATTTGATATATGCTGTTTTATATGATTTATATTCGTTTTAAAGTAATTTTATTTAATTTTATTATCTTTTGTTTTAGTATATGTTATACAATTTGATATTAATTTCTTTTTCATTACTACAACAAGTATACTTCTTTTAGCTTTCAATTTCTCTTGCGCTCCAAAGTATGCTACAATTATTTCATCTACTCGTTCAAATTATCTTTCATTCAGTAATTATTAACTACTCAAAAATTTACTTTTCAAATTAATTAATATTTAATGAAGAGAAAAAAAGTTGAAACTATCTCTTTCTTGTTGTTATCAACTTTTAGGCGCTCAGTCATGTTGCTTAACAAGCACTTAATTTTCCGAAATTCTTGATTGTTTGCCTGCTTATATTGTATTTGCTACCGTTTGTCGGAAGACCAAGTGCAAACCTCACTTTCAACTTTCATAATTTAATGAATGACACTAAAGTAGCTCTCTCCGAAGTACTCTCGTTCTTATTCAATTCTTCTTTCACTGTTTCTAAGAACTTTTGTATTTTGTTTCGCTTCCTGTGTGTTAGGGGACGTTCAGAGTTGTCTGCTATAGAATTTCAAGTTGCTTTTGTGTTGTTGTTGGTTTTGTTGTTGTATGCTATTGTTGTCAGGGCCAGACTGTGCGGTGTTGTTACTTTTTGAATTTTGTTGCGACGGAAGAAGAATTGTTTGGTTGCAAAAAAAATAAAAAATTAAAAAAAATAAAAAATAAAAAAAAATAAAAAATAAAAAAAAAATAAAAAATAAAAAAAAATAAACAATAAAAAAAAAATAAAAATAAAAATTATAATAAGCGGAATTGAAATTTAAAACGGGAAAAAATTTATTAAAAGTTAAAACTTCGGATAATTTAGAGGCTATTTGCTATTTTTCGTTTTTATTTAAAAATTAATGTTTACTTTAATTTCAGTTATATTGTTTTATTTTATTTTATAAAATTATAATTAATGTAATTGACTTACTATATTCGATTTTATTTTTTTATGTGTTATCTTGCCTATTTAAATTTTTTTAATTGATTATATTAATTTTAGTATATTTTTTATTTAATTTAATATTACTTTTTGTTGTTTTATTTTATTTTTTAATTAATTTAATTTTATTTTATTTTCCTTTTTTTACTTTGTTTTATTGTNTTTTTAATTTAATTTTTTTTTTAATTTTTTATATTTAATTTTAATCTATTTTAAATCTTATTTTATAATTTAAATTTTTGTTTTATTATTAAATTGAATTTTATTTGGTTCATATTTTCATTTGTATTTAATTTAATTTTTTCATTTAATATTTATTAATTAATTATTTTAATTACTTTTGTTTAATTATTTTAGTTTTGCTTTTTATTTCTTTAATCTAAAAATTGTCATTTACGTTTATTTAATTTTAATTTAATTAATTTATTTTTTTTAATTAAATTAAATTATTTTTTTTTAATTTAATTAATTTATTTTTTTAAATTTTATTTAAATTATTCTCTTTGTTTTGTATTTTTTTTATTGTAATTTTATTCTTTTTTTTATATTTTTATTATATTTTAGTTAATTTTCTATTTATATTTTATTCCATTTAATTTTATCTTGTATCGATATCTTTAACCATATAATATTTCCTTTTGGTTCTATATCATCAACTTGCTAGCAATTCCGAAAAGAAAAGATATTCAAAAGCGTGCCACTTTCGAAATTTCACCGCAGGCGTCTATCCGTGCGGATATTGCAACACATTTCTGACCTTTTATTTATTTTTCGAAAGTTTTATTTGATCAACATTATTTTTTATCGACTAAATATTCAGTGCTATTTTTATGCGTTGTTTATCTACTGCAATAAACTTTTAACCTCACTTTATTTACACAGTAGCGATCTACATACATACATACATGTGTCAGAGTGCTGAAAATGTGGCGCAATTATTGCTTTGTATATTATATTTCCAGCTGTGTGTGCGTTTCTCCTTTTTTTCGATATATTTATTTGATGTGTATTTTCTGGCGTAACTTACAATACAATTTAATGTGCTTTTCTTATGTACACAAAAAACAGAAAATTTTGGAAAATTTTTTTCCCAGTTTTTTATACTTGCTAAAAATACTAAACAGCGTTTTTCCATGGATGTGTAAATATTTTTTACGACTAAACAAGAAACTGTAGGTCCCACAGGAGGTGGAGCTCGGCCCAAAATCGCTTCAGCTGTTAAAAATAAATTGATTACTAAATATTCCATTTTCTGTTTTTATAATTTTTGTACAATTTTTATTATAATTTTTTTACACAAATTTTAATGATTTTCAAATTTAAAAAAATTAGCGTATATTTAATTTAATATTTTATTTAGTAAATTTTTTGAATTTAAATTGTTTTTAAAATTTGTACTTTTGGAAAGTTTTCTTGTTTCGTTTTAATAAAAAATAAAAAATTTGCTTACATTATTTTCAAAATTTTTATCCGAATCTTTTATCTTTAAATTGTTTTTAAAATTTATAAATATATAATTTTTTAAATTTTTTTATTGTATTGTAATATAATACTTGTAATAATTATTATTTTATCATAATTTATCCATGTTTTAGATTTTTATAAAAGTTTTAAGTTAATTTTAATTTTTTAAATAATTTCTAATTTATAACTGAAATTTTTAATTCAATCAATTTTATTTCCCATTGCATTAATTTCGTGGGAAAAAATGATGATTTTTTATTTCTTAGCGAAGACACACACCCCAAAATAGGTATAAATGGCGCTCAGTAGAAATTGAATTTTTAATTCTATTATTAATATTATATATTATTTACTAACGCTCTCCAGATCTCGATTTTACTGTCATGTGTGAATTATCGCCCAAATTATTTTTAACGCTCTTATTGTCCATCTTAAATCCTTCCCATTGAAAGTATACGACATTAATTTGTTTCCTTATCTTTCTTTCTCTCCCCGCGTTCATTGCAGTGCGCAGCTGTCGTGCCGGCAAGTCCGTACAAATGTCCGAAGCCGAAGTACGCGGTCTCTGCTTGAAGTCACGTGAAATATTTCTACAACAACCCATACTCTTGGAACTCGAAGCGCCACTGATCATTTGCGGCGACATACACGGTCAATATACAGATTTACTGCGTCTTTTCGAATATGGCGGCTTTCCACCGGCAGCTAATTATCTATTCTTGGGTGATTACGTTGATCGAGGTAAACAATCGTTGGAGACCATTTGCCTGTTGTTGGCGTATAAAATCAAATATCCCGAGAATTTCTTTTTACTACGTGGCAATCATGAATGCGCTAGTATTAATAGGATTTATGGTGAGTGGTGTTCACTCTCATCTCTCTCTTTCTCTAACTAACGGAATTTATCTTTTATCTTCTCCTTTAGGCTTCTATGATGAATGCAAACGCCGTTATAATGTAAAATTGTGGAAAACCTTCACAGACTGCTTCAATTGCCTACCTGTTGCCGCTATAATTGATGAGAAAATCTTCTGTTGTCACGGTGGTCTGAGTCCCGATTTGCAGGGCATGGAACAGATACGTCGCCTTATGCGTCCAACTGATGTACCCGACACCGGCCTTTTGTGCGATCTACTGTGGAGTGATCCCGATAAGGATGTGCAGGGTTGGGGTGAGAATGATCGTGGCGTGAGTTTTACATTCGGTGTGGATGTGGTGTCGAAGTTTTTGCATCGACACGAGCTGGATCTCATCTGTCGAGCGCATCAGGTGAGTGGCGATGTTGGAAATGAAATTTGGTTCATGAATTATTTTTTATAGTCATTTTTCTACATCGAATTTTTTTCTTCGAAATTTGTTATTATGAAAAGCACTAAAACAATATTATTAATTAGGAATTTCGAAATTTTTGGAAATTAATTTTTGTGTAAGTTTTAAGTTCCGGAAATATTTTTTTCCGGAAATCAATAAAATTTGTTTTCAAAATTTGTATTTTCGCATAGTTTTCAGCTCCAGAAAATTTTTTGAAAACTCAATTAAGAAACTATTCAAAAGCTTTTTATATAATATATTTCCAAGCATTTGTAACTTTGCAGTTATTTTTTTTTATAAACTTTTCATATACAGTTTTTAATCAATATTATTTGCTAATTGAATTTCGGAATTTTCGGAACTATTTTATGTGTAAGTTTTCCGTTTCAAATGATCAATGAGATGTAGTTCGGAAATTAATATTGATTGTTTTCAAATTTCGAAATTTTCGAAGTTGGATTTTCGAAAATAAAATTTTTTCGAAAATCAATTTTCGAACTGATTTTGTTATTGTAATTGTTAATTTTCAAAATTGTCTTTAATTACATTTCAGGTTGTTGAAGATGGTTATGAATTCTTTGCGCGTCGTCAATTGGTAACGCTTTTTTCGGCGCCCAACTACTGTGGTGAATTCGATAATGCTGGCGGCATGATGACTGTAGATGATACGTTAATGTGCTCGTTTCAGGTAAATTTTATTTGAAATATATAAAGTTTTATTATATTTTTTTTTGTATAAAATATATTCTATATTCACTCCACCTTTCCCCTCACTTCAGATCCTCAAACCGTCGGAGAAGAAGGCGAAATACTTGTACAGCGGCATGAATTCATCGCGACCAAATACACCACAACGCAATGCACCGTTAATAGCATCGAATAAAAAGGGCAAATAATACATCCATCCACTTCCATTTCCTTAAAAATTAATTAATTACTATGTTAAATTAAAATTCGAAAATATAAATCAGAATGCAAATAAGCAGAAGCAACAACAGCAAAAAAGTAATGATAAAAATAATAAAAAGAAAAAGCAAACGAAACGCCGCGCTAGCAGCAAATAAGAGAGAAGATATTCAAAATTCAAGAGAAAATATATAAAAAAAAATATAAAAAAATACAAAAAACCATAAAAAAAAACAAAAAAAAAATAATAAAAAACGAATGAGTTTAACAATGAGATATCAGCAATTACAGCAACAATAATGCAAAAACAATACAAAACAGGTTACAAGCAAAAAATGTGCGAAGAAAATGTGCAACATATAAACATAGAGAAAGGGAGGAAAACGAAAGCAAAAACAAAAATAATAAAATCATATACATACATACATACATGCATTAATTAATAAAACAGCAATTTACAAACATTTACGAAAAATAAGATTTTATTTAAAAGTAAATATGTATATTATATATAATGCTTGTAAAATGCCTAACCACTGTCTGTCCGACAAAGTTATAGCTGTAAAAAAAGAAAAACAAATGTATATGTACTGACTTCGTTTTTATTACACATTTTTATTTCATATTTTGATTTGTATTTCTTAAATTTCTTAATTTTTTTATTTCTTTTAAGCTTTACTTTTTTTATTTTTAGTAACACGTAAACACTACTGTAGTTTAAATAAATAAATATATATATCTATATCTATAATTTATACATAGAACCGCAAAAGAAAAAAGTTTATGATAAATTGTTGTTGTGCAAGAGCATAAAATAAATAAGTAAATAAAATTCATTGTACTATAAATGCTAAAAAAAAAGAAAGGCAACAAGTAAAGAAAAGTTTTAAATCTGCATTGAAAATACAAAGTTATACATACACTTGCATACAAATTTGTTATATAAAAAAATATTTAAAATTTAGCTGGAATGGGCTATAAAACCGTTGGGGGCGCTTGTTGTGTGCAAAAAGTGAAGAAATGTGCAAAAATTGTTAAGAAATGCGGGCGTTGCTGAATATATCAATTATGAAAATTGGAGTATTTTTTGTTTAGCAAATTTCAAATCAATAAAAAAAGAAAATAATAATACATTAATTAAAATATAAAAAAAAAAAATTAAAATAATTTTTATTCGTTAATACGCGAAATATCTGTTCGCTATAAACTTTGAAGCAAATTTATTTCGAAAATAAAATTTATTTGACCCAAAAATGACCACTTTTGTTCTTTAATGTTAACCTATAGTCCACAATATGTTCCTCTTAGTCAGTTATTTTAGTTTTTATATTTAGTTAATAAAAATTATTAGTATTTTAAATGATTTTTATTTCATTTTCACAATTTTGGAATTAGTGTTTTACATTTTTATAACATAAAAGTTTAAAATAATAACCAATATTCATCTGACCCTCTACACACTACCCTAATGCAAGACAAATGTCATCTTTTTTATCTGGAAATTTGGTTTACGAACTCTTTTGATTCATTTTAAATAATTTTTTTCAACGATTTGTTATTTTAATTCTCAATTTTCATGGTTAACTATTATATTAAATAAAAATTTATTTTTGTTTTCATTTACGTTTTCCTCTTGCATAGGTGAATATTACTACAGCACATAGTTTATCGCTTTGAATGACTTTGAGCGGTTTCAATAATTATTTTTGTTGATTTTTTAATATAATTATTAATTTTGTATAAATTTTTATAATTTTAAAGTTTTTCCATTTGACTTTTAATTTTAACTATTATCTTTCTAAAAAATGCTGATGTTTTATGAGAACTTTAAGCTTAAATGAATAATACTTTTGCAATGTTTTATTCAATTATAAATAACATTATTATTTTATCTGTTCTATTATTTCGAGGCACTTTGGAGTTTTATTTTGTAAGCGTTTTTTTAAATTATTTTTATTTATTTCTTACTTTTAATCGTTATGCTTTCTTTTTATTTTAATTTTATTATATGTTATATTATTATTTTTCATATTAAGCAACTTAATTTTATGTTATTATATTGATTTTAACTCATTTTATTTTTTTTTATTTATTTCATTTATTTTCATGATTGATTTAATTTTATTGAATTTTATATTACTATATATTTTAATGAAACAATATTTTAATTAAATTAAAATTAATTAATTTTTTTTTTATTTTGCTTAACTTAATAAAATTTTATTTTCTGTTATTTAATTTATTTGAATTAAATATTATATTATTTTATTACTTCATTTTAACTTAATTGTATTTAATACAATTTTATTTATTTGTGTTTAATTTAAGTTAATTTACATTGTATTAACTAATAATATTTTTCTTCGTTATTATATTTATAATATTTTATTTTATTTTATTTTATTTTATTTTATTTTATTTTATTTTATTTTATTTTATTTTATTTTATTTTATTTTAGTTTATTTTATTTTATTTTTTTTATTTTATTTTATTTTAAACTATTTATTTTATTTTATTTTATTTTAAACTATTTATTTTATTTTATTTGTCTTATGTTGTTTTATAATTTATTTTATTTTATTTTCATATTTAATTTATTTTTTTTTTAAATCTAATTTATTTTTTTTAAATTTAATTTATTTTATTATTATTATGTTTTTTTATTATTATTTTTGTTTATTATTATTTTTTTATTATTATTTTTTTTTATTATTATTTTTTTTATTTTTATTTTGTTTATTATTTTTTTTTATTATTATTTTTTTTATTATTATTTTTATTATTATTATTATTTTTTTTTAATTGTTTTTCCTTCATTCAATTTTACTTATTTAATATAATTTAATTTAATATTTCGTTAATTTTTTTTTTTATTAATTCAAAAAAAAATATGAAGTTCAGCCTTTTTAAATTGATGTCGTCTAACTCTTCGCGTAAATCGAAGAGTTTCATCATATAATTCTTCTTTGAAAAATAGCAAAAGCAAAAAATGCACTGAAATAAAAACGTGAAAGCTTAGTGAACGAGCTCGAAAGCTCCAACAACTGTTAAAGAGGTGGTAAGCGCGTGTTAGTACCGAAGTAGAGTATGTTGAGTGTATTTAGTGTCTAGTAGTTTGTAGTTTTTAATTACAAAAAAAAAAAGAAAAAAAACGATAGATATAACATACAGATAAATACGTAAATAATGAATATACATACATATAATACGATTTAAAGCATACAAGTTACTAATACCAACTACATAATTACAAACATATATACATACAACAGGCAGAATATGTATGTATATGTATACTTAAAATAAAAAAAAATTAATAATAAAATGAAATAATAATATAAATGATGTATATTTGTTGCAGGACAAAAAAAAAGAAATAAAAAATCATATAAACTGCAAGCGTAAAACCTAAAAGGTTAATTATTTATTTATATTTTATTTTATTATTATTATTATTATTATTAAACTAATATATTCTATATGTATGTGTGCGTATTTATTCAAAGTAAATTTTCGAAAAAATAAACAAAAATACAAAACTACATTTTCTACTTTGAATAAAGAGACCTGATTTCAATAAAAATTTCATTAAGCAAGTTAAAAGTATACAAGTATGTATGAATATAGTTTTTAGTATTAAAAAAAATGGCTAAACAAAGTATCAAAGCAAAAATTACTAATGAAAACAAATTAAAGTAAATAAAAAGTATGTAAAGCAATAATTTAAGCAAACAATGTCTACTACAGCGTGTAGCAAATATACATACATATAATGGAAAAGTAGAAGAAAAAACAAAAACAATTATAAATTTTGTTTGAAAAAATCCTACAAAATTATACTTAATTACTACTCAAAATAATTAGACAAATCTTTAATTAGTGATTCATATTTGTTTTTGTTTTTGTTTTTGTAAAAAAATATCGAAACTTGTATTTATGTTTAATTTATTTTTTAATTTACATTTATCTTGATATAAACATTTTAAAGCTCCCATGTACTCGTACGTCAGCCCAAAACCCATACTCATCAAGGATTTCTAACCTAAAACTATAACTGGAACATCTACAGAGCAACAACAATTCCTAAATACCTGAGAAACCCTATTTGTAGAAAAAAAATATTTTTTCGATTTGTTGTTTTTAGTTTATGTTTATATAATAAATACATACTTACATATATACATGTTGATCTATCAGCTGAGCATTTCAAATATAAACATATATAACTGCATTTTTTGTTGTTTTTATTTTTAATTTCTCCAAGGACTTTTGGTTTTTTACTGTTCTTTTCTTAACTTAAATTGGAAAAAAAATATGCGAGGCATGAGAAGAAGGAAAAGAAAAGGAAGAAGAAAAATAAAAAATAAGAAGACGCGAAAAGAAGAAGAAGGAAGAGAAGAAGAAGGAAGAGAAGAAAAAGAAAGAGAAGAAAAAGAAAGAGAAGAAGAAGGAAGAGGAGAAGAAGGAAGAGGAGAAGAAGGAAGAGAAGAAGAAGGAAGATAAGTAGAAGAAGGAAAAGAAGAAGAAAAATTAGAAAAAAAGAAGAAGAAAAAGAAGAAGAAAAAAAGAAGAAAAAGGAGAAGAAAAAGGAGAAGAAAAAGAAGAAAAAAAAGAAGAAGAAAAGGAAGAAGAAGAATTAGAAAAAAAAGAAGAAGAAAATGAAAATAAGGAGAGAAAAGAAGAAGGTGAGGGAAGAGAAGAAGAGAATAGAAGAAGCAGAAAAAAGAAGAAGAATAAAAAAGGAGAAGAAGAAAAAGAAGAAAAGGTCGTAAAAAGAAGTAACAGAACAAGAAGACAGAACAAAAGAAACAAGAAGAAAATGAAAAGGAAAAGGAAAAAAAATGAAAAAAGGAGTATAATGAAGGTGAATAGGTAGAAGACAATGGAAAAGAATTGGAAGAATAAATAGGAAAAAAGGAGGAGTATAGAAAAGATTTAGAAAAATAAGAAGAGTATGAAGTATGAAGAAATAACAAAAAAATGGAGAAGGAAAGATAAGAAGTTGAATCCGAAGAGGAAAAATAAAGGCAAAAAGAAAGGAAAAAGAAGAAAAAGGTGACAAAAGAATTCGAAATAAGAAGTAAAAGAACGAAGAGAAGAGGGTAAAGAAAACTAAAAAGCAGACAAAAAAAATCACTATGAAGAATAAGCAGAAGCGGATTGATGATAGAAAATATTCGAGCTATGCGAAGTAAATGACAAAGTCAATTAAGTTTCGGATCGTTTTACTGTCCTTTAGTTACTATACTGTATAATATTTATCACAATTTTACATATTGATCTGATGCTGTAAATTCCACAAATGAAACTTTAACCATTTTATTTATTTTAATTTTTTTTTATTAAAACATTTATATGCATATATATTTAAAAGACCCCTTTAAAATCGTCAAAAATATTTATAAACAAATTACAAATAATTAAAACACCAATTTTAAATAAATTAGTTATTAATTATAAAAAAGTAGTTTTCATAAAAAATATCTACTTAAATAAAAGAAAAAATAAATAAGTTTGTAGTAAAAAAATTCTATGAGAACCTAAAAAGTATATACTTGAATGAAAAATG